CATTCAGTTGCCTGGAAACATCACAAACGAGAGATTCAACTGGGTTTCTAGGTGAGTCTCTCGAAAAACCAAATTAGTTTGCAAATGAGAGTATTTCGCCAAAATGGAAACCGGTTTACAAAGAAATGTGGGATGATCCCCATCGCCGTCATGTCAAAAAGTGACTACACAATGAAAGGTTTAAGACCTGATCTAGCAGTGCGTTCAGTGATCTTCCTGAGAGATCTGCAACAGATTAATCGGAATTCGGCTATTACATGCTGATTATGGTAAAACACGCCAGCTTTCACGCGGGAATGAAAGTGGTTTCCCGATCTGGTACAATCTCCTCCGTTCAAGCCCTAACCGATTGCTTGATAATTAGATATTGGAAAGCGGATGTGGTCAGACAACAGTCAAGCTCAAACCCAGAAACGATTCCCGCAATCGAGTACTTATTGGCTGACAGGAAAATGGTCACATCAATGTTCAACTCGGAAATATGATGAAAATAACCACGGTGCAGTGGGTGCACCTAGCTCAAATGGAAATCGATAAAACACACACACACACATGGAAGTTCGGATAAAAAGCACAAAAGGCAAAGTGAGGGAAAACGTCAAACAACAGAATGGGATAAATGAGGGGCCCGCATACGCATACCACAGTTTGCAAAAAATAAAGACGACGCACATTACTTGGTGGATTGTACCAAAAGTGTATTGATTACGTACCGAGCTACTAGAAACGTCCCCGAGCAGTGACGATAGAAGCGAAAAACGAATATGAACCAGTTGTAGTTTTGCTGTATGTCTGTCTCAGAGCTGAGAAATGAACTCGTTTTACATCGGCTCAAGCAAGTGATACTGGGAATCACCAGCACCGCACACTTCACGAATCCCTAAGACAATTCAAACTTGAAACATTCTAGATAGGATAGGATAGATAGGTTAGCTGGCCAGCAGTGAGAATAACTCGCATACAGACAGGGTAAATCTTCACGAGGTGGCTTTTGCGCAGTACACTCAGTTGGAGAATATCGTAAGCGAGAGATTCAGGTAAATCCACCTTGAAAAACAAATTGATGTGCAAATGAGCGTAGATCTGGGACTTCGTATAGTTTGGTTTCAAGTAGAATATAAAGTCGACGTAAACCGGAGGACTGAACCCATTTGATGAGTCCCGGTCGTCGGCTGTCGAAGAGTTTTCGGCAACTTTGTGAGTAGTTTCCTTTATAGGGACTTGAAAATTGTTTTCGTGTCAAGGAATTTCACAACACTGATCCAAATCGCAAGATTGAGATAAGGTAGAGTAACGATAGGGATGAGATGACTCAAGTGGTTAGAGGAGGACTTTATTGACCGGAAGGTCCGTGGCTCGAACCCGACCCCTGCCTCTCGACTTCCCCTGTCCAGACTTGGGCAACCTGGCAATATCCCAGCTCTCGTGCTTCCAGGCAGGCATGGCAGCCAGGCACCGGAAGAGTGTTTTTTTTTAAAGCAGCAATAAATAAAGTTTCTAGATCAGCTACAATTGCTAATCCATTGAAAGTGAGACACCACGAACGACCAGTAGCAGTTGTTCAAATTCACACGGCGAGCGAGATGCAAAAACTGTGCAAACACGTAGAAATTTCGTCTCCAAAATTCACACAAGTTGCACCGGTGGCAGTGAATTACTAAGAGACGCCCCTAATCCAAGACGATGATGGGAAGACTGGAAACATCGCATGAGAATTGGTCAGGTTCCAGCAAAAGCAAATCGGTTTGCAAATGAGCGCCTTTCGCTAACCTCGTGAAATGTGGGTTCAAGTAGGACATACAGTTCACGAAAACTCAGGGTCTGCGCCTATTCGATGAAACCCAAGAAGGGCGAAAGCGGTCGTGAGCTGTCGAAAAGTTTTCAGCGTATTACGTCTAAACATGTATCGCAACTGAAACACGTAGCGGCCCTTGTACAGCATACACAGTTGCTTAAAAGCATCACAAACGAGAGATTCAGTTGGGTTTCTGGGTGTTCCCGCAAAACCTGTTCGGTTTGCAGACGAGTGTATTTCGCCAAAACTCGTTATTGTTTAATTAACCGAGTCACACAGGGTTTATATGGATCAAATCAGCTCGTAAGACTTGACACCAACGAACGAACACTATGGAGGGAACCATAGCCATTCAATTTAGGGCGAAGATTGGCCAGCAGCTGGAAGATGATGCACATCATGCGATGTCCAATAAGCTGGTGGTTCGTGACGAATTGGCGCGCATCGACTTCAGTATGTTTAAGGTGACCGAAACGAATGATGAGAGAGCGCTGAATAGTTATAATCCGATTATGAGGTCAGGTTGAAGAAATTGGCACGCATCAACGTCAGCAGGTTTTGGGTGACCGGAGTGAATGATGAGAGAGCGCTGAACAATTATAATCCGATTATGAGGTCAGGTTGAAGCACATATACTACTCCAACGGTGTGAAATGAATGTACAGTGGCTGGGCTGGACACAATTTGACCAATAATCGGAGAACTTGAGTTACCAACGCTGTTTTCTATAATTCCTTTTTGAAGCAGTATACGAAAACATGGCTACAAACAGAGCGCGATGGTATGGAAGTTATCCAGGTCACTCTCCAGCACGCTGCTCGATAAAACAGGATATTAGTACACTTGACGCATGGCTCATGAGATTGTCAGAAACTCTTGGACAACCCTCGACCGGCTTCGTCCTCCATCTTCGGGCGCAGTGCCCGAAAGACCGTCCAGGAACTAGGTAAACGCACGTAGAAAGGGAGGAAAAACCCAGACAGGGACGACGTCCTCTTGACTGATGACGAAACAGCATCAACATCATCATCGACAACATGACATCAATAAAACAGGATATTAGTACACTTGACGCATGGCTCATGAGATTGTCAGAAACACTTCGACAACCCTCGACCGGCTTCGTCCTCCATCTTCGGGCGCAGTGCCCGAAAGACCGTCCAGGAACTAGGTAAACGCACGTAGAAAGGGAGGAAATACCCACTCAACCAGACAGGGAGGACGTCCTCTTGACTAATGACGAAACATCATCAACATCATCATCGACAACATGACATCATTGTTCAACACCGATGCTTCAATACCGTACAACCATGGTTTATCTGAAAGCCTTATTGTAAAGAAAAGAGTAAAGGTGGACGGGGAAGGGACTTAGTGCTAGCTTACCACAATCGTTCCGAGGTGCCTACACCTCCAGACATTCACTCACACAATCTGGATAGAAACTGACAACAAGATCGACACTGACATCAGTTGGCAGCCATATCTTGTAGTGTCTCTAACCAGACACAGTGAGGATCACGCGGTCCCCATCCTGGAAGGTAGCAGCGCCCTCCATATTCCTCTGACAAGTCTAGAGTGGGCCACCTCTGCTTACGCCACTCTGAGTTGGGCATGGAAAACAGCACTCTCTTCGGCAAATGATGGTTCGGCATACGCAACACATGTCCCAAACAACTCAACTTCTGGTGTTTGATACTTTCTTCAATGGAGGTACCCGTTGCACAACCGAAAACTCGCTTTCTAATTGCCTCGTTATGGATACGCCGACACCAACCCACACGAGCTATGGTTCTGAGACAACGATTGTCGAACACCTGAAGACGTCTCAGTTCCGCTGCTCGAACAGACTAGGTCTCACAGCCATACAACAAAACAGCCCGCACTGTAGCTTGATACACACGTCCCTTCAGATTCAGGGATAGACCACTCTGACGCCATAGGTATCTCAAATTAGCGAACGCGGCCCGAGCCTTGCAGATCCGTTCATTCACCTCATCTGTCACACTACAATCAGAACTAATAGAACTTACAAGATACGTAAAACGCTCCACAACTTCCAGTACATCTCCCCGGATTGTAAGTGGTGTGTTCAGTGATCGCACGTCCACGAGCACGACCTTACTTAAACTTTGTGGTTGTAAAGTGTATACCATAGGACGGGAAGACTCAGTGGTACAACCACTGAGCAGACAGGCAAACAAGCAGCGCACCCAAACCACTCCAATTCAATAACTCAATGAACAGACCGTAAAGTCTTGGAAAAGTAGTTTTAGGCGATCGGATTCGTTCAAAAGTGTAGCATGGCACCCCTGTTTTAAGCTCTGAAGACGTTCTGAGGTGGAGATCAAAGGCGAGAACACCGATAAGATCCGATCCCTTTAGGGTCATGTACTTTACTTTTTCAGTCACAAAAAATCATAGGATAGTAATAAAGCTTCTGTCACGGTCAATTCATGGGGGGATTATCCGAAGTTGTTCTCATGATAACACTTATTGTTCTGTAGTTGTCGGAAGTTATGCACGCAAAAGTGCAGCTGGTGTTCCCCAGAATAAATTCTTTACAAGCTTCAGTTATGCGAAACTAGCGATAGACTGCACAACTCTGTCGAAATTTTCCTAAACAATGAGTGGTTTTCATAGATGAAACTACTCACAAGGTTGCTGAGAACTCTTCGACAGCCCACGACCGGTTTCGCCCTTCCTATTTGGGCTTATCAGGTAGGCGCAATCCCCGAAAACCGTGCAATTTGGGTTCAAGTAGATCATAAGGTTGACGGAAACTCGAGGACTGCGCCTACCTGACGAGCTCCAAGAAGGGCTATCGTGGGCTATCGAAGAGTTCTCAGCAACCTTGTGAGTAGTTTCATCTATGAAAACCACTCATTGTTTAGGAAAATTTCGACAGAGTTGTGCAGTCTATCGCTAGTTTCGCATAACTGAAGCTTGTAAAGAATTTATTCTGGGGAACACCAGCTGCACTTTTGCGTGCATAACTTCCGACAACTACAGAACAATAAGTGTTATCATGAGAGTGGTTCTCTTATTCATGGTAGAACAGTGGGTTTCCAAAGTGTCCCATTCCGTGCTTGTTTCACTGTGTTTGAAATAAACAATCGATCGAACTGACTCCGAATGCGGTCATTAAAACGAGTTGTGCAAAACAGAAACTGAGCAGTTACCGAAATCAACCAATGAGACTGACCTTGAAAGACAGTTCAAGATTTTCACCGCCCCAAACTTCCATTCCCTCGTCATAATAGCCGAGTCGTTTGAAGAATGCTCGCGAAATGGCAAACAATCCACCAGCCATTGTGGGTGTCCTGAAGCATTGCAAGAAGACGCGTGTTATGGCGACAACAGTGTACAAAGTGAAACTAAGTAACCAAGACTAAGTTAACGACGATACCAAACATTACCTAGTCCCCCCTGTAACGATCGAAACTGTGTAGCTGATTGATCGGCCGATGTGGGAATTTAGTGAAACGGTTCTCCTCCCCAGTTTTCCCCAAGGTAGAAAGAATACTGTCCGATATTCGCTGATCCGGTCACTTTACAAACAAGCTTACTGGGTAAAAATTTGCCGCGTTCACAACAACAGCCAGAAAGTGTCGTTGAGATGCACTGTAAGATACGTCGCTTTCTGTCCGAGGCTGATCTAAAGTGAGAGTCTAACCGGGATCCACCAGCATAATGCACATGACCTCTCGATATGATTTTACCGCTGACCGCCCCATTTCATGATGCAGTCCGACGTAAACACCACCGTGAGAACCTCCAAATACATCGATTCCTGAGAAACCTCTGACAGGTCTCCCAGAGTCCGGATCCACGACAGAAATTTGACCGCCATGCCACTCGAAGGTTGCACGAGGGCTGGAATACTGCCAGATTGCTCAAGCCTAGACAGGGGAAGTCGAGAGACAGAGGTCGGGTTCGAACCACGAACCTTTCGGTCAGTAAATTGGCGCTCTAACCACTTGGGCCATCTGGCCCCAGAAAATTGACCACTGGTTGGAGTCGAGCGGGTCAACACAAGGCCAGAACATAAGCTATTCACGGTTAGACAGAGCAAATTATATTGCACTCCTGATTTCTCTCAAGCCAAAAAACAAGTGGAGTGAAAAAAACACCATTAACTGTCATTCTGAGATGTTTGTAATGTGTGTATGTATGCAAACCTCCGCCCTTATGCGTTGTCACATGCATGCACAAAACTGTACGGAAACGAAAATACAGTATGGTCATCACTCTGGTCGCCAAAAAACACTTAAGGACTTAGTCTGAACGTGCAACATGTGTCCAGTTGATGCATTTGTGGAGAGAGATTTTGAAGCAGTGCCGAAACCCCAACTGGCTGACCTCGAAGATTAATTGTCGATATTGGTGGAAAAGAGGCAAGGGATTATTTTGGTTGAAATATCACGAGCTATTGATTCGTTTTCGCGCAATATCCAGACAATCTAAATGTAAAATGAGTTTAAATAAGTACCGGAGAAATCCAAAATAACAACGTCTCTGAAAAGCCCACAACAACAGTGATTGATCGGGCACACATAGATTTTTGGCCAATCAAGTAATGAGACCCTGGGATCTTTTCCAAATAAGCCCCGACACTTTGTGCCAGCTCCAACTTTATGTACGCACACAAGCTCGACCTAATTTTGATGAAAACAATCCCTTATCCGCATCTAGACTCATTTTGTGCAAAAAATTTTCTCCGTTCGGACGTAGACCTTAAATGAACTTTCTGACGCTTTCAACTCTCGTTCATGAGAAGGGGAAGGCAATATGTTTTTTTGCAAAGCCACGGAGTGATCCATCAGCACCGTTTATGCAACAATGGCCACCAAATAACACTTTCAACTGTTTCTGACAGGTGGAGGTGTAATACCTGACAGTATCGGCAAGAAATCGGTCTTCGAAAGGGAACTTGGCTGGAACAGTCTAGGATGGAGTTTAGGACAGTAATTCTATTTATCTATTTATTGCTGATCCAAAAAGTTGATAAAAATCAAATTCTGCTCAGAGGAATTATCTATTAGCCACAAGACTGCTACTGACTGGAAGAATTTCTTTCGCAAAGTTTGCGCCTGGCGGCTTTTGAAGACTCCAACAGTTATCGGATCCCGGGTCTACAAGTCGAGATCCATGAAACGCCAATGTCCCGCCGTAGGAACCACACAGGACGAGTCCTTCCCCAGCAGTGGATTTTCGGAGGGATCTGCCGGGAAACTGAAGAGCCGTTCATGTATGCAGTGCCAGATCGAACTTCGGCCACTCTGATGGATACAATCCAGGACTGCATCGCTCCCGGCTCAATCATCATCTCCGATATGTGAGCGTCATACCAAGGAATTGAAACAATGATTGATATGAATCATACTCATGAAACGGTTAACCATACCGAAAGATTTGTGGATCCAACGGCTGGAGCTCACACACAAACCATCAAATCTCTTTGGCACGTCTATTAGATGCAGAATAAGCGCCAATGCGGCACACACCGATCTTTAGTGGACGGCTACTTGTGTGAGTTCGTTTGGAGGCAAAGGTACCGAAAAACGGGCCTTTTCATACAGATAAATAATAATGACATGACCCAATTTCGCACTCTTCAATGAAAACTAAAAGTACAAATTTTATATCCTCTTTCTTCTATTATTTTTTGGAGGACGGGGGCTGATTTTTTGGCGGGGCTTGTCTGGAAAAGATTCAGACCCTGCAGTGCCTGGGAATGATGGAAAATCTCCCGTTCTATTCGTCCCAAAGTAGTTTTTAAGTTAAAGCATTGATATATCACGCAGCCAAGAAATAAGGTAAACCAATAGGATGAACTTCAATGGGAAAGTATCATATTTGGTAGGCTAATTGTTGACCGGTCATAACTGGCATGCGAACACGCGTCGTCCCAGTCACTTGCTCCACTAAATATAAAAAATGACGAGAATCGGTGGTATGTTTCAAGAGGAATTGAATAGAGAACCCTCCTTTCTAATCAATTCGTTCAATCAAACAGAGTTGAAGTGTTCGTCTGCATAACGTTGACAATAATAACAATTGCTCAGCTGCAGCACCCTTGCGGGGTCTAACTGCCGTGTTACCTGAAGGACTCATGAGGGCTGAGATGCTACCAGGTTGCCCAAGCCTAGAGAGGGGAAGTCGAGATGTAGAGGTGGAACCAAGGTCTTTCTGATCAGCAAGTTAACGACGTAACCACCGAATTGCCTCGAGCTAACTATCTTTTCAATGTTACGGTGGAAACAAATTCCGCTGAGACCTTTATCAATGTCAGAAAGGCGTATAATCCCGGGTGGCCTTGCCGAGGCATGAGTCTCTACATTTACTGTCCAAACAGGGCAGCCTAACATTCACAATCTTGGTTGCTGTTCCGTTGTTGCAAGCGTTCCTTCCCAAACGAGGTGACACAGCAAAGCGTGGTGGATTCCAGTTGGGTCATTGTGAAGGCGCCAAGCAATGCTGTGTTCGCTTGGTTGAGGTATGACCTTTGATCGTGACTGACCGTTCATAAGATCGATCCAGTTGGTTGACCAACTCTCCGAATGGTCGACACTCAGTTGACCTCATACGTTTTCCTCTACGATTCACACCCGGGTGATCATGTTTGTCCACTGACGCATTGGTTCCCTTCGAGTTATTCTACCGAGATGACGATCTTTGATCACAGTGGCTCGTGTATGTCGGTTTCTTGAATTTGCGACCGAGTGCCCTTGCTTGTCTATGCGCTGACATTCACGTTTTCTGCCAATATTTTCCTCAGTAAATATCCTTAGTGTTATATTCCGGCGATAAGATTAGAGCAAAGTCTCTCGCCTTTTGAACGAAATTTCTTCTGGACGAGGGAGATGAACTTTGTCAAACTACGGGAACACCCTTAGGATATTGTTGCACTGGAGGTCCTATCCCTTCCTGAAAATCTTGCTCGGACTCATGAGTCATTCAGCAGTGCAGGCGGCCTCCTTGGTGGTGTGACAGGGCCGCCTGTACATCAGCTAAACAGCGACAGAGAATCAGCTGGTTTCAGATGGAAACGCACTAGCCACTATCAGCTACTGAGATGCTTCATACGAAAAACTAGTCGCGTACTTTTAGAATGCAAAGGTTGCGCTTGCTTGGCCATTACCATTGTCAGTAAACTCAGCTGCGCCGGTCATTGGCGGCGGGGATCCCGAGACGGGCCATATCGATGGCTAGAGACATTGTCAGGCATGGCTCAGTCGCGCCCTCAACGGCGCTCGTGCCTTGTGTTGCCTGCTCTCTTCCCAATCCCTCCATTTAACATTCCTGTATTTACGCACCAACTTATGAGCTACCGCCTCCAATGCGCAGCTACCTCCTCCACCTTACCGAATTATCGGTGAACGAAACTGTGGTAGCTACAACCAACCACAGCTCAAGCATGAACATGTCGGCCTATTCAGACGCAAAATTTCACAGGCGTCCAGCAAGCGTTGGTGGTAATACGATCGCCTAGTATGTCAAATGTCCGGAATGAAAACCCCGTCACGACCAAGGATATGCACTGCTTATGGGCTCTGATAAGAGTGAAACTCGAGTCTACTGCTCCCCCTTTTTGGCATGAACTGACCGAAAAGGACTTCTTAAACGAGTGATGTTAACGTGAAATTCACCCCCAAAAATTGCAATTGTGGAGTGGCCGAGGAATAACTCTAGGCTCGATGATGCCACAGCAAGGAAACTAGCGGGTTGATTTGGATGCAATTCGAAGCGCGGAGACGGAATATCAGAGAAATTCATGGTGTTAAGTACAGGAGAAGACACTGAAGTGGACAGGTGCAAAGCACCTGGGAAAGGGCGCCAACAAAAAAATTTATGTGCCTGCACCGGGATGACTCCAGCACAGCACATGTAGATAGGACAGGACACGGCTGTGGCGAGTGCCGTCATCGCAGCCTGATTGATCGCAAAAATGCGGTTTGGCTGCAAGCTAAGTTGATTGGTTCTGTTTCACGCAGTGTTAACTTTACCAAGGAAGTTGACCTTAGGAATGCAAATATAAACCAAACATGTTATTCAAACTCCACATATTGCCACAGAAGCTGCTTTGAAAGTGCGGATTATGGTTTGTGGCGTTTACGGAGCTACTCAGTGTGTAGAAATTCTTTTGGCAACTTCTGTATATTCAGTCTTGGTCAGGTAGTATTTGCAGGGTTGTAATTGCACAGGTAACAACCGTTTTCAACAGTTCCGGCAATACTGTGATGTGTGCACGCAATCCATGAAGACTAACCTAATGTGGCGTTGACAGCTCCACACACACGCGCGTACACACACAGAGTGC